ATATGTATATGGATAAACGCATAATGATAACCACGTGCTCGCAAAACCTCGCTTTCGTTTCTATCGTGACGTAGAAAACGCTCTCTCTTCCTTCTAACAATAAATCGCACGACAAGTTACCCTTTTATACCCCTCCAACCTTCCTTATCCTTCCCCTCACACTTTTCTTCTCCTATTTTACTATTATTTACTCTCTCCTTCTATCTGCCTCTTTCTTTCTCTCCCCTCACCCCCTTCACACTCTCTCTCTCTCTCATTCTCCCCTTCTCTTTCTCATACACTCACACGTACACACACACATATGTATATGTGTAATATATTTAGAATACATACGGTTCGAACATAATCGTGCATGATCGTACTTGCTCGAGTAATTTGCGTGCTATAAAAAATAAAAAATATAAACGGAAAATACACTTCACTTCTATAATAAATTAACTTGAGTTTCTCCTATCACGATTTAATCAAATCGATTCTTTTATGAAAAATAAAATGAGAATTGAATCGTTGTAATATCGTTAATGTTTAATAAGCCTATTTAATTTTTTTAATACTTCTTACTTGATTTCGTTTAATCGTTTGTATTGTCTGGTATTTCCTTTTTTTTTTTTTTTACTTCTGTTTTTTAAGAAGATTGTATTTATGGGTCATGTTATCTTATTATATTTTTATCTCTTTGTTTTTTTTTTTGTTTTTTTGAATAAATATCTGTGTGTATAAGAGATCATTTTAAAAATTGTTAGATTATTGATCCAAGTAGATTAATCACAGATATAACTAGTAATAATTTTTTTATTCTAAATTTTTGAAAATTGATTTGAATTTATTTATACATATTTGTATAATTGTTATTCTTTTATTTATTATTTCATTATTACATTTTATTAAATATGCGATTTACAATCAGTTACGTTTTATGTATATTATTCAACAGGTATGTAATTATACGTACTATTGAATTTATGGTAAAAATAAATGATTACAATTTTTATTTCAAATTTATGAAGACAAATTGACATATATTTTTATATATAGTGTGTCCCAAATATTTATGTACCGATTAGAAAAATTGTACTTCTTTTGGGGACATAAATTTAGAGTAGAAAAATCTCGGTCCTATTCTAATAACATTTTTGTAATTTTTCAACCTTTCTAACTTGATATTTCAATCTTCAAATGAAATACGAAATATTGTAATTCTATTGATAAGTCAATATTAATTAATTTTTTATTATGTTTCTCTTACTTCTTTATACTTTTAATACACCCATGTATTTTTATTAAAAGATAATTTTCTTAGAAATTAAAATTGAAAGCAATTAAGTTACTTTGTGTTTAGGCGTTATTACAAATACAAAATAATTAATTAATTATAATATATATAATTTAATATTATTTATAATATTATATATTTATAATATTATATATTTTTAAAATAAATTAATATATATATTTATAATATCAATTTATATTGTAGTACAATAGTACAATTGTAGTAAAATAATGTATATAAATATCAATATATATTGATAATAACAAATTTATAATAATATAAATTTAATATTATATATAATTATAATATTATGTGTAATATATAATATATAATATAAAATTAATAATTACTTATTTATTTATTATTTATTATATATTTATATATTATTAATTATATTAAATAAAATTATTAATTATAATATATATATGTAAAATTTTGTAAATCATATTTTCATATTTGAAAAATGAAAATAATAAATTACTTTCTATTTTTATTTTACTTGGAAATTGATAAATAAAAACGACCAGACTTTCAGGCACGTTTATGATATTATATTACGAGTTGATACTAAGAAAAAAGAAAAAAAAGTATTTGAAGTACTCGCGAAAGAAAGATTACTAAAGTGTTGTTATCGATCAAGGTTCTCAATGAACCTCGCGTTTTCACGAGGGGGAAAACGATGATCGTTAATGATCTCCAACCGTGCGGTATCTCCTAGGGCGAATTGGCTAAAGTGGTATGACCCCAAGTATATCTAATTTTCATTTGCCATGAATTGGAGTCGTTTATATTAAAACCGTTAGTTCCCTTCAATCGTTGGAATTAACGAACGATTCGATTATTCGATACAAAATTGTGAAAAAAAAAATAAAATAGAAATAAAAATTAAAAGAAATGAGTCATTAATTACTATTCGGCCCAAAACGATTGATTGATTCCAATTTTAGAATATTAATATTTAAATAACGAAATACTCAATTTATGCTTAACCTTTCATCTTTAAAATACATTTTCTGTTTTTTTTTTTTTTTTTTTTTTTAATTTAATCAGCCTAATTAACAAAATTTTGTTAATGATATGACAATGTTTGCAATATTGTTCTTTATAGTTTTTTGTTTTGTTTATAAAATTCATTGATCTGACAAATGAAGCTACTCGATCGTTATCAAATTTTTCCAAAATTATGAAATAATTTTGTTCTTTTATCGAAAACTCATTGAGACTGTAAAATATGATAAAGACTAATTATCATTTCTTATACTTCCTTGACACCTAACTCGTGATAAGTGAGTATGTCAGTGACATCATTGGCCATTAGCGAATTTTCGCAATAACATAATAATTATTATCTTTTCTTTTTTATTTATTTATTTTTTTTTTATTTTTTTATTTTTCTTCTTTTTTTTCTTGTCTCATGAGAAATATATATATTCTCATAACGTTGTATAATTTCTAGGGGATCGTTCGGAAGAATTTAATGAACAGTTTTTATTTTTAGGTATACCAAAAGCTCATTTTACGTGGATAGTTATGCATGCTACTCATGTATTGTGTTATCAAAAAAGCTCGTGCCGATTTATAAACACATAAATAAAGTATATTTGTATATAAAACTGTTTTCAATAAATATCTTATCATTTATTAAATGGAAAATAAGATATGAAATAGAATAAAAAATAAAATAGAGATATGAAAAATAAAATACTTAAGTGAATTTTAAGAAGTTCAGGAACTTGACATAGAAAGAATACATTTTATTTACAATAAAAAATGTGAACGTTTTTTTTTTCCCCCGTCAAAGTTTAAAACTTTTCGACCAACCTTCGTAAATATTATATGAATGAAAAAATACAAAAATTATTTATAAAATTTTATTCTTTATTAAATAAAAATAAATATAAATTAAAATAAAAATAAAACAATAATGAAATTAAAATACGTGAGTGGAATAAAAAGTTTGGAACTTGACATAGAAAGAGTTTTTTTGTGAGTAAAACTTTTTTAACATTTACAATAAAAAATATAAACACTTTTTTCTCGTCAAGGTTTAAAATTTTTCGACCAATCTTCATAAATATTGTATGAGAATTAAAAAGAATTATATAGAAAAATATTGATATAAACAGAAAGAAAATTTAAATAAAATTATATATCAAAATGATTGTGGTATATAAATAAAAAGTTTTTAATTTCGGCCCAAGTTTTCCTGATAATCCAATAATAAATAAATAAATAAATAAATATACGTACGTATATACTTTTTCTCTTGCTTTTTATCAATCTACTTCGATACACGAATAATTTTGCACTTTAAATTTACTTCGTATAAATTAAACATACAAAATACGCAGGTAATAATTCTTGATCAGTGTGTTTGATAATTTAACTGCAATGCAGCATTATCATAACGAAATGTTGCACGTATGTAAATTTAATGCGTGCTCAATCATACATAACTTATTTATATTATTTAGATTTATAAACTTACTTGTATACACGTTTTACCTTTTAACATCTTATGAAAATGAAGAAAAGTCTCATCGAATGAAAGATATTATTTTTCCAATGATATTGATGAAGGTATAGTAATAAATACGTCGCATAAATATGTCTATTACTTTTTTTATGTATATGCATGCGAGGTGAATTCGTCGTTAATAGTTTAAATTCACAACGCATCATTTTTACATACAATTGATCGATAATTCATTCTACTCATGATACTTATGTACATATACTCATATTTACTTACTTACTTACTTTATATGTATTAGAGAGAAAAATATTTTCTAACGATAAGTTTTATCATTCGTTTCGATTAAAACGGTGATCAATTTCACCTATAAATTTTCTGCGTTTATTTTTTTTGTCTGCCCTACGTTTCTAACTTGCCGATATTGAGATATTGAAATGAGAAGTGGGAGAAAAAAGAGAGGAAGGAGGTTCAATAGAAAAACAGGAAAGGAATACCGGTTGATTCATTTATCTGTCTCTCTCTCTCTTTATTTCACATTCTCATATACAGTGATTCCCCAAAGTATAATATTCAGACCCCATAACACAGTGGTTCCCAAAGTGTGCAGTGACCAACATTGTCATCTATCTCATTAATTACTATAACTTGTTGAACTTGTTCAATTACATGTTTTTGTGATCTAAAATGTGTTTTATTTATTTTTAACTAACCTTTGCAAAAAATGATTTGCTATTTCGCAAAGTGTACTTATTAGAACTTGACATAAAGCCTTCTGGAAAAATTTAAATTCAGCAAAGAAAACCTATTTATTATTTGTAACAATTTATTATTTATTTATTTTTGATAAACGTATGCAATTTATTTCTCAAAATTTATTTATATTACATACTTAATATTATTCAACGAAACAATGTTCCATTTTAGGTTAAATAAATATTCGATAAATATTCATTTATCATTTACTTAATGTTATTTAATATTTGCAAAATACTTTGAATATTTCAAGGGATAAATATTTTGTTTTGGAACATGTCTTAATCTGTTTGCTATATTATTTATAATTTTTTTAAAATGTTCTATTGTTTTATTTGTGCATTCATTTGTGAGTTTTCGTATTAATTAAGTTATTAAAAAAATTCGAATATTGGTGATTTTCTTATTTAATTTATACGATAAATTTTTAACAGGATTAAAGTCCGATGATTGGGATTGAAGATGAAGAGTTTCTAATCATTTATTTAACAAATTTTCTTGTAAAATTCGTGCCTTATCCTTGTGTTTTATCTGTGAATGAAACTTAAAACAATTATTAATCCTTATTGTTTCAGCACTTCAAAGCAAATTTTTAAATTAAAAGTTTATAACTTTATCAACAAAGACTAACTATATAAATTCATATGAAGAAATGCAGTCTAAAAACATTACACTGATTTCTAAGAATTTTACAGTAGAATATTGTAAATTAACATCATTTCTTTTAATAATGCTAAATGTATAAATTTATTAAATTAAATTATATACTATTTTATACAAATTGATAAATATTTGATTGCTAAAAACAATTAAAAAAAAATGATTGCTCTATAAACAACCGAAATATACAATCAAAAACCTAATCATACCGTAGTATCCAAATATTTTAGGGACACATTGTACATATGTGTTTAATCTTTTCATCTATTTATTGGTTATGACAACCACAACATAAAACATAAAAAATTAGATTCTTGAAAAGGATAGAACTGATCTTAAATAACGAGGTTAAAAATTTCTTTTATTTTTCAACGATGGCGAAGACATTAACATAACCTACAAAGGAGAAAACTATTCTACGCTAATCCAGGTGGACCTTATTAACACTAACTAACCATAAGCATGGTAAGACCGATGTCATGGGACTGGTTTTAAATTTGTTATTTAAATTCTTTCTATTTAATATTATTGATTCATGATACATTGATTCATTTTATTTGATTTCACTTTCTTAAATTTATTATTAATCATAATTAAATGTTACATTAAAAATTATCTATATTCTATTATAAGAAATATAAATTTTATCAAATCAATCATTTAATCGGATGCTGTATTAATAAGTATAACTAAACTATGGATAAATTTGATATTCAAATGCTGTATTAAATATTATTACTATTGTTTATTTAATGTTTCTTTACAACTAGAATTATATGTATTATTATATTTTTTTCTATACAAATATTTTATTTATTATTTAATACAATGCAATATTTATTATTATTTTTATTCATTTTATAAAAAATTTGGTAGAAAATCAATTATCTGACTGCTCATAAAAAGTTATATTGACAATTTGGATAGATTAAATGTTTGATAAATAATAAATCGTTTTTCATGTATAACTATTCTATTTTCATATCAATTTTTGATTAATTACATGTTATCCAACTGAGAAATATTAATACTTTTAATAAATTTCAGCTCACGTAATGTTTCTACGAATTCATAATACAATTTTCAAAAATTAATTTTAAAAGATATACATACGGATAAACACTAATATAGTATCTCGAGTAAGTAAGTGTATGTGTGAATAAATGAATCCAATACGAAGAAAAAAAAACTATATTTTCAGTATTATATTCAATTTGTGTCACGTAATAAATACACGTAAAAACCTTCATATATCTTCAGTACCGTTATCTTCATGCAGCATAATGAGTTACAATATGATTCAAGCATTTTGTAAATATTTCGACTTTCATGTAAGTTAACAATAAATAAAAAAAAAAAAAATAAAAATAAAAACAAAAATAAAAAATAAATAAATAAAGATAGAACGGATATTGTTTGTTCCTTTCTATATTTTATTTATTTATTTTTTGTTTCAAATGAAAGTAAAATAAAAATGGTAAATAAATAAGAAGTAAAATTTTTTTATTTTTTTTTTTCTTATTATTGTTTATCTTTTTCATTTTGTGTTACCACTTGGTGTATATTTAAAATAGTTCAAATAGCGAAATCATGAACCCATATTTTTGAATAACCAATAAGATTATTTCTAGTTGTTTTATATATATAACTTTAATTCTATGATTATTGAATTTAACCTAATTACTTTACAAAGTTATAATTTTAATATTTAATTAATTTGTATTAAAAAATAAATATACGTACGTTTAAAATAATATCAAATTTACATATAACCGTGGAAAAGATTCATTATGTGAAAAAAAAAATATTTATTCATTGTTTTGTTTTTATTTTCAAAAAAAAAAAAAATAAGCGACTTTTACGACACATTGTATATTTACATTTAAAATTACGTATATAGATACGCACGCGTACACTCGTAGCTTTTTGTTGGTATTTAATAAGACGCAGAATAGAAAGTTTTGTTTGTATTTTCATTTTTTTTCTTTCCTAATAATATTATTATTATGACGACGTTGAAAAAGTATCCAGGCAGACAAAACTAATAAACACTCGTTTTAATTATTCATTTCTCGCGTTGTCTTACCTTAAATTTTTAACAAGAAAGCGTTGTCATCGGATATGTCGAAGTCGTAACAACTTTCAATACGAACGATAGAATAGCAAAAGCTATGCTTTGATTATCTCTATTGCGATATCGCGAAGCAAATTTTGCGTATTCGTTCGTTCGCTCGTTCGTTCGTTCGTTCGTTCATTCGTTCGTTCACTGTACTAATTGTAAGTGTCAACGCAGCGTGATGTAATCTAGTAGAACGTTTACGAATTCAAAGAATTAACGTGCATCCGTTCGCGAAGTGACCTCTTGTCTTTTATAAAATAAGACTATTTATTTTCTTTTCAAGTGAAATCTTGTTTCAAGGTGAACCTCAATGTTTTATTATATTTAAGAGATAATATCTATTAAAATAAAAGTATTATATTAAGTGGTTACAAAGAAAAATATCAAAAGAGGTCGGTTATTACACTACACTACTACCTTTCAAAATTAAATTGGTTCTAATATAAAACGAGTCTTCATTATTATTATTTATTATTTAATTTCATATATATATATATATATATATATATATATATATATATATATATATAATAAATATTTATGTTTCAAAATAATATATTGTTTGTTTTATTATAAACTTGAGTAAATAAAATATAAAACAAGGATTTTATTTTATAACAATATATTTTATTAATAACTAATCATTTTAATCGGTTTATTAAAAATAAGTATACATTAATTATAGACAGTTTTACTTTTAAGCTTTAAGATTTGTTTCAGAATACTCTCTCCCACTTTGTTTTGAAAAGTTTTTTTTTCTCTCTCTTTTATGATAAACAGATGTTACGAGTTTTCTTCTATCAACTTCGTGAGCGAGTAGTAAAATTTCTTCGTAGTTTTGTATTGCTTTATTAAAACTATCTCTAATGCTATTTTTGAAAATAGATTTTACGATTTGTTTTTTAAATAACATAGAACTTTTTTTTTAACGTAAATATCACAAAATTTTATTGGACATAAATGACGTTAGTAGCATGATTGAAAAAAAAAAATTAAAAAAAAATATATATATAAAGTAAATAAACGAGTAAATAAATGTTTTTTTTTTTTTTTTTTTTACGAGAACACGATATACGAAACGTCGATACGCATCGAGCGTAACGAATGAACGATAATTGCTAGAACGAGACGTAATAATGTACGTCGTAGAAAATTAACCGAAAAACTTGGCACGACTTATCGGAATAAGGTGGATTTAAGTATCATTAAAATTCAATGACTCATACGCATACTAGAAATCTATTTTACATCTTTACTGACATGCCTTTGTTTCGTATTTTGGGCCACGCGATTGATCGTAATTACGTCATTTTATTTTTGAAGTACGCAAAAAAATCAAAAAAGAAGGGGGACAAAAGAGAGAGTAAACAAAATTCAACGTATCGTTCAATATGAATGAAAACATAAAGCGAATTTCATAATTTCTAATAAAATAAAAGGGGAATTTATTATTTTGAAGGCTTAATTGAGAAAGTAGTCGATAAAATAAAAATCACCAGAAAATGTGAATATATACAGAATTTTCTAAAAACTTTCTTTACTGAGAGATAAGATACAAAACAAAAGAATCAATATAAGCAAATCGAATGGAAATACGATATTTTTTCTTTCTCATTTAAAAATATAATTCTTTAATAATTGTGCTTTTAAAAACAAAGCTTGCCTATAATTCCAAATGCGTCCAAAAAAAAATTTATTATTTAGTACAACACATTTTAGGACACTTTGTATATGTATATTCTTTCTCTGTATAATATACATCTTATTTTCTATAAATATAATGTTAGTATACATGTATTAGTATACAATATATAAATATACAAGATAAGAAGAAACACAGAAACAAACGATTTACTTTGCTTACATCACGCCTTTGTGCTACTTAAATCGAAACATTCCCCCTTTATCCTACACCTCTTTAATCCATCGACTATTCACAGGTCTCTTCCTACCTATACCATAACCTCCGTACGTGTAAGACAAAAACGAAGTAACGCCCAGTGAACGGAACGTTGACACAAGACGCGATAGTTCTCCGCGCATGCGCAAGATGGCAGCACTTCTGCTTGTCTACCCGTTTCAAGTGGGTGATGATGTATCTACCCCCCTTTATTTCTCCCTTCTTTTCCATAAACATAGATACTGGAGCTATACTTTAAGCTACCAACGATTAGATAACAATATTCTTATAGGCTACTCTCTTTTGTTCTTATTGAGAAAATAATAAATTAAAAATTATATATTTTAAAAATAGCTATAATCATATTTTATACGAATTCACAGTTCACTTGCAATCGTATTTTGAAAGTTGTTTCACAAAATTATGAAAATTTAAATTTGTTTTTAATCTTTTAGAAAATTTTTTTTACGTATTAGAATTGAGTTGCGCAAAATTTAAGACATGGAAGGGGAGTTTATTTTGTGCGTAGAAAAATATTCTCAAATACGACGTATTAAAAAAGAAATAAGTTAGACGTATACTATTGCGGTGTGATGAGTCGTGAAAATCAGAATATCAGGCGCGAAAACAATGGACGAATAGAGCGTCCCTGCCGACCAAATTTGGCCAATCAGTGGCGCGTATTTATGTCTAAAAATTCTTGTTATTGTGACATACATACCTACAATTGTACATATTTATATACAAGAATATATATACATACGATCAGACAATCGAACGAATGATCTAAATTTTTTTTAATTTTATTTTCTAAACTACTTTCAAACATAGACAAGAGAAAGTTAAAATTCACAAAACGAGATGATAATTATATACGTATAATAATTACAAATTTTGGTTCTACATGAATTAATTTAAATAAAAATATCCACTAAAACGATACCTTGAATTAATGGCGTCTGCTAGCATCCACCGATATAAAACGAATGATCTCTATGGCATCTCTAATAACTAATAAAAAAAAATTTTTATTTTACAATTCAACTTTACATTATTTTTGAAGTATTATTAGTCTTTTAAAAAATATTTTGTACTTTTTCTTTAATATAAACAAAAAATATTATAGATTTATTGTTAGCTTCCATATATTTGAAATGCATAAACTAGGGATGAAAGATAATGGTTAAAGATTTTTATTAACAAGAATTGTGTTTTCGATTTAAAAAAGAAATCAAAGTTCAATTTTATAACATTTTTGTTTGTTTTCGATATACTTATTACACAAATATCCATATTTATTGAATCTTACTAGAAAAGATAAAACTAAAAAGATTAATAATTAGTTTAAATTTTAAACTATATATATATATATATATATA